TAGGGGATCATTATGATCCTTTTCAACCCAGGCCATTCTAGGATTCTATGCTAGGAAGCACTCTAAGTTTTGATATTCCATGCTAAGGCTCTGGCAGTGACTATGTACTTCTCACAGACGGTCTCAGGCTAGGTCCATGTAGGCTGAGTACTTGCTCTTCTACTTTGTGGGTATGTATCAGCTTTGTGGGACAGATAAAGGTTATTTTTTTTTCACTGATGTGCTCTAGACCACATACTTGGATCCATTAGATTTGTGTAATATCCAAAATTAAATATCTGTGCAAGTATGGACTGGGCAGCTGGGACACAGATGCAGTACCCCCAACAGTGGAGATCTATTGTCAGAGCCATGCTGAGAAAGCTGCATGATCAAAAAATTACATTATGTCTTACCACTGTCACTGGTGGCTGATTCATTCATATATTGTAGCCCCAAGCTGTACACAAGTCATAGGATCAAGGAAGAACGTTGGGGAGAAAGAGGCAATTCAGGAACTTTGGAATGCCTGGTTCTGGGTGGAGAAGCTGCAGTCCTTTTTGGATGATCAGTCTTTCTGGAAAGCTGATGTCTGCATTCTGTAGATAAGAGAACATCCTTGTGCTTCCACGCATGCCAATCATAGAATCACCAAGGTTGGAAAAGACCTAAAAGATCACCCAGTCCAACCGTTCACCTATTCCCAATAGCTCCCACTAAACCATGTCCCTCAACACAACATCCAGTCTTTCCTTGAACACCCCTAGGGTCGGTGACTCCACCACCTCCCTGGGCAGTCCGTTCCAGTGCCTGACCACCCTTTCTGAAAAGTAATACTTCCTCATGTCCAGCCTGAATCTCCCCTGCCGTAGCTTGAAGCCATTCCCCCTGGTCCTATCACTAATGACACGAGAGAAGAGGCCGACCCCCAGCTCACCACAACCTCCCTTCAGGAAGTTATAGAGAGCAATGAGGTCTCCCCTGAGCCTCCTCTTCTCCAGGCTGAACATTCCCAGCTCCTTCAGCCTCTCCTCATATGGCCTGTGTTCCAGACCCCTCACCAGCTTTGTTGCCCTCCTTTGAACACGTTCCAGGGCCTCAATATCTTTTTTGCAGTGAGGGGCCCAAAACTGGACACAGTACTCGAGGTGCGGCCTCGCTATTGCTGAGTAAAGGGGAACAATCACCTCTCTGCTCCTGCTTGCAACACTGTTTCTGATGCAAGCCAGGATGCCATTGGCCTTCTTGGCCACCTGGGCACACTGTCGGCTCATGTTCAGCCGAGCATCAATCAATACCCCCAGGTCCATTTCCTCTACGCAGTCCTCCAGCCACACCGCCCCAAGCCTGTAGCGTCGCCTGGGGTTGTTGTGGCCGAAGTGCAGCACCCGGCATTTGGCCTTGTTGAAACTCATCCCATTGGCTTCAGCCCAGCTCTCCAGCCTGTCCAGATCCCTCTGTAGGGCCTCGCATGCCCCAGGCAGATCCACACTTCCAGCCAGTTTGGTGTCATCTGCGAATTTACTGAGGGTGCACTCAGTGCCCTCATCGAGGTCATCAATAAAGATATTGAAGAGGACAGGCCACAGCACCGACTAAATACAGGGAATTTAAGTGAATCAAGATTGTATATTTTGTCTGACCTGCATGTCTTCTATTTTGTAAATTCTTACATTCAAAAGTGCTTTACTTTTTGTCACGATCAATTGCTGAATGGGACAAATGAGTTCAGGACTCAAGACCAGCAGTAAGTCTGACAGGGAAATGGAGCAGAGTGTCTGCTGCAGACAAGTGATGAAGAGGTAGACGAAACTCTTTGAACAACTGGAAGGAGCCTTCTGCTTGCAAGTCCTGCTTATCCTGGGGAAGTTTGCCTTCCTAATGCCTTCTGGGGAGGCAATGTCACAGGGTCCAAAGAAATGAGGATTTTTCTGAACTGTTGTGTTTCTCAATAAAAGTTTTGATGCTGAAATCTTATTCTGCAGTAGTTTAAAAATAAAAAAAAAAGTTTGAATTAAATTATCAGTTATTGCAGATATTAGCATTTTGCTTTGTACGTTAGCCCACATGTTTTTGTGGAATCTAGTGAAATAATAATGACTTTTTAAAAAATACATGACCAAATAAACCGCAAAAACACATTTCTTTTTTTCTTAAGAGGGATCTGCTCTGAAGTAGTCCTTCAGTGAGCTACAGAACCTCTTCTCAGAAAAAGTTAATGATTAAGGAAAAAAACCCACAAGGCCAGGTTGGTCGGCATCCTGGGCTGCGTGATCTGTTGCCTGATTTAGTGGTTGGCAGCCCTGCCTGTGATGGGGGGTTTGAGCTAAATGATTTTTTGTCTCTTTCTACCCAAGCCATTCTGTGATGATTCTATGGTTGTTAGACTCAGTATTTCAAAATATGAATATATTCCTAGTTGCACACCTGCTGGGTAAAACCTCCAGAATTGGCACTTTGTTTGGGCTGATACTAGAGGGGAAGGACTTCTGTTCTAAAAGCAGAGTACGTGGATTTTGGTGAGCACTGTGAGCACAGCAGTAACTCAGCTCAGGGTGACAGGTCATGGTGTCCTACAGTACTGCTCAGCACAATGCACTGGCAATAGTGGGAAGGGACCTATTTGCTGACCCTTTTTTTGATCAATACAGATAGTACACACCACATAGAGTAAGGTGATTAAATCTATCTCAACTTGTATAATTGGAATATGGCCGAGTATAAATTTGATTTATGCTGTACTGTCCATTTAGATCTGACCTCTGATGCTGCATTCCCCTGCACTCTTCTTGTTTTTTTTTTTTTTTTTTTTTTTTTTTTTTTTTTTTTTTTTTTTTTTCTTTTTTCCAAGTGTCTTCAATATCAGCATTCATCTTCATTGACACTTAGTTCAGATGACTTGGTGCTGTCTTTAGATGAGGTTGATCTACAAGCTTTAATTTTAATTAGCTGGGTTTCAATGCGAGTCTGGATCAGGCCATGAGCAACCTGATCTGGCTGTGGTGTCCCTGTTCATTGTAGGGGAATTGGCCTAGATGGCCTTCAGAGTTCCCTTCCAGCTCCTAGGGTTCTATGATAAGCTGCCTTCTATCTTACTGGATATATAACACTTGTTTAATAGTTGTTTGAAGTTCCTATAGCTTGTGTTTGGCTTCAGTGCCCTGCTTTGGGGTTAGACTTAAGATTTAATAATGATATTTTTGAACAGCAGATTTCAGTGTATTCTGTATTTCCTACCAGGCTTTGTGCACGTATCTTGTTTTTACATCAAGTAGTGATTTTATTAGGTTGACCACAATAAGTCCCTAAATAAAGCTTGTACCTGGCTAGTGTGTTCTGCTGTGTGCTTTGGAAATGCCAGTCGTCCACCTCTTCTTTTAAATGCTTCTGCAGTGGCACTGGTGTCACACATCTGTTTGAGATCTGTTCAGCAGATCTTATGAATGGGTGCTGCAGATACTCTTTTTGCTCTTGGCAGGATTTGTTTTGCTTAACTGTAATCATTTAGAAATGGTTTAATCAGTGCGGAACTGGCAAAAGCTGCTAGCATTGCCTGAGAGGCAATTTTGTTCACTGCTGGCTGCTTGCTGTTTCTTAGTGCTGTTATTTAGCTGGATAGCAAGATTGCATATGTTGACTGCAGTGTCATTTTATGCTGCTTTAAGAAGATCTGGAAATGGCAGTTTGAGCATGTGGTTTAATTCAGTTATCTAGGTTCTCCTGACAGCGATGGGGGATATCTTCTAGCGTAGCTGTTGTACCAATCGCTTGTCTTGGGTGCAGGACTCGAAGGTGTCATGAGTAGGTCTGTGATGATACTATACTGGGAGTTGTTCACTCCCTCGAGGGTAGAGAGGCATTGCAGAGAGATCCTGATGAATTAGAGGGCTGGGCGACCAACCATGATGAGTTTAACAGGAGCAAGTGCGGAATTCTGCATCAAGGGTGGGACAGCCCTGGATCATGTCACATACAGACGTGGGGATGAGATGCTGTAGAGCAGCCCCAGGGAAAGGGATCTGGGGGTCTGATGGCAAGTTGGACGTGAGTCCAGCGTGCATCAGGTCCAGCACCGCTCTGCGCTGGTGCATCCTCACCTCCAGCACTGGCACTGGTTTGAGCACCACAATACAAGAAAGGTATGAGAGGGTTCAAATGAGGGTTACAGAGATGAGGGAGGATCTGGAGGACGAGGTATGTGAGGAGTGGCTGAGCTCAGCCCAGAGCAGAGCTGAGGGGAGGCCTGATGGCAGCTGCAGCTCCTCACAGGGAGCGGAGGGCAGCGCTGAGCTCTGCTCTGTGTGACAGCGACAGGGAACGGCATGGAGCTGTCAGGGGAGGACAGCTGGGGGTGAGGGAAAGGGTCTGCACCAGATGGCGGTGGACATGGAACAGCCTGCCCAGGGCTGTGGGCACAGCCCCGAGCTGCTGGAACTCAGGGGGCATTTGGACTGTGCTCTCAGACATTGGGTTTGGGTTTTGGGAGGTCCTGTGTGGAGCTGGGAGTTGGAGTTGATCCTTGGGTCCCTTCCAACTTGGGATATTCTGTGATGTGATCAGTGGTAGGATGGAATGACTGGATGGAGGTTACCCTTAGTTTGCCCTTGTAAGAGCTGGAGAGTAGGCTAAGTGCTTAATTGAAAATAGCTAACAGCACTCTCATCAATCAGTATCATCCTTTCCTAGCACTGGATGACCTTTCTTTTTAACCTGTATGTTGTATTAGCTTTTTAAAACTTATACACCATCATTGTTTTGATGGTACAAAGTTGTTTTTCTTGAAGCTGTAATGTTTGGCCATAAACCAGCCTACTTTTGAATAATGTGAATGTGTACCCCTTTAAAGTGAGACAGCATTTCTTCTGTAGATATGTGATGTAAATAACTATCTGCCCAAACCAGCTTTACACTTGATAACATAAAGAAATCTCACAGAATGGCAAATTAGTTGAAAATTGTCTTTTAATTCTAAACTGTACATTTCTTTCTAAGACTAAGTTTGTTTTAACTCTGTTGTTTAGACATGGAAGTAATGAAGCCTTTAATTGATGAACAACATTCAGATGTTTCTGATGAGGAGCGTGAAAGTAATTTCCTGCCAGTTGAGAAGCATTACCAACTTGATAGTGAAGAAGGCATTACGTATGTATCATTCTTAACTATCAGCTTGTTAAAAATTTGTTACCTCCAACTTTCTTTTCATAAGTAGCTTACGAAACTCTTAAGTGGTTTACTTGCAGCCACGCTATGGTTTTGCAGGTATACTTAAGGATTTTCATAGTTTTACAATAATCAGTGGATTGTGCAGAGGTTCTTTGTTCTTTGGAAGCTAACAGTATGTTGACTAAAATATTCCAAGGTGACCATAGTTAAGTGATTGGGCCTCTTGAAATCCAAACACTGTTTACAGTGGATTTGGATTGAATTAATTTTATAATAAAAAGCTTAAGATACATTGGAAATAGATTATTTGTTGATGTTTGAAGAACTTGTAAGTTCTGTTTTTGTTATTTCTTTTTTATTGAGTAAAGCTTTCATGGTCACAAATCACAGATTCTGACAGGTAATTGTTTTGAATGTTATCATTATAAAATAGCTTTGATCAAACCTTGAATCTTTCTGAGGCAAAATGACAATAAAAGTACACAGAAAATATCCTTATCAAGGTGGAAGAGGGACCTGGAGGTCAGACTTCTATGTCCCATTTGAAGGAACTTCTTTCTAGATATTGGTAAGAACATCCTTTGAATGTGCTAGACCACTTTAAAGTACTTAGAGGAAAGAGCTGGTTCACAGATCATCTTTATCAATGACCTAGACAGTGGGATTGAGTTAACCCTCAGCAAGTACGTTGATGATACAGAGCTGACAAGCAGAAGGAAGGGATGCCATCCAGAGGGATCTGGACAGGCTCTAACTGTGTGCCCATGTGAAACCAGTGAGGTTCAACAGCACCAAGGGCAAAGTGTTACGTTTGAGTTGGGGCAATGTGTGCAGACTGGGAGAGCTCATGGAGAGCAGCCGTGCAGAGGTGGAGGAGAACCTCGTGGTTGAAAAACTGGAGGGCCAGCTGTATCCAGAGCAGCATCAACAGTGTGATGGCCAGCAGGGTGAGGGTGGTGATTGTCCCCCCTCTACTCCGCACTCAGGAAGCCCCACATGGAATACTGCATCCAGCACAAGAAAGATGTAGAGCTGCTGGAGCTGGCCCAGAGGAGGGTCACAGAGATGTTCAGAGGGCTGGAGCGCCTCTCCTGTGAAGAAAGGCTGAGAGAGCTGGGCTTGTTCATTCTGGAGAAGACAAGGTTCTGGGGTGATCTCATCTCGGCCTTCCTGTACTTGAAGGGAGCTTATAACAGGAGTGATTTTTTTAGATGGTCTGATTTTGATAGGACAAGAAAGAGCGGTTTTACCCTAAAAGAGGATGTATTTAGATTAGATGTTAGGTAGAAATTTTCACAGAGAGGACGGTGAGGCCCTGGCACAGGCTTCCTGGAGAAGTTGTAAATGCCCCAACCCTGGATGTGTTCAAGGCCAGGTTGGACGGGGCCCTGGGCAGCCTGATCTAGTGGGTGGCAAGCAGCCCATGGCGTGGTATTGGAACCAGGTGTTCTTTAAGGTCCCTTTCAGCTGAAGCCTTTCTTATCCGCTAATAAAGATGGAGGGTGCTCTTCCCCAACCAGTGTGAATGTACTTCTAATGTGATTATGTGATCTGTGACTTGCTGTGTTTGTGTCCTTAGGTTTATACAAACGCTTACCCACCTTCTCAAAGGAAACATTGGAACTGGGCTCCTTGGTCTTCCTCTTGCAATAAAGAATGCTGGCATTGTGGTAAGACTTAATTATTTTTCACAGATAGAAAAATTGCCTAGGAAGATCTATAAATATGTGGCAGAGCCTGAAAAGCTATATAGTTGTCGTTTGTACCTACCTACTTACAGTTGTTTTCTGTTTTTCCTTTTTAGTGTGGTGAATATGTGAAGGTTGACACAAACTTTTTTTAAAAAATCTGGGCAATTCTGTTAGAATATGTTGTATTTTTGCTTAGCCAAAACATTTTTTTTTTCTCTGTAGAAAACAACAATAAAAAAAACCCAAAAAACCAAAAAGTCTGAAACCAGAAAAATGTTGTTTTTCTGTTTCCTGTGAATGGGATTTGTTGTTGGGTTTATCTCATCTTTGTCCAGACTTCTTTGTATCCAGATTGTATGGCAGAGGATGTACTCTTATTTTCTTAAGTCAGACTTCTGTTTCTGAGCACAATTAGTTTGTACCAGACAACAAACAATATCATTTTCTACGGCAGTGTAAATTTCATCAAGTGAAATTTTCAACTAGATAAGGCAGTTCTTTATTACAGAAGGCTTAATGCAAGGATGAAAGTTACGTGTGAATAGCAGGTACCTTTTGTGAAAACTTGTGGTCAGACTTAGGAAAAGAAATTATTTAATTCAGAAATTATCTGTGACTCACAGTTGTAAAAGTTATCAGGGGAGTGATTGTGACATGTTCTTTTCCCCCTTTGTTTTTATATTTTATTACACTGCACATCAGCTGTTCAAATGTAATGGGAAGAAGCCTTTAAAATGGCAATGCTGCTGCTGATGAAATGGTCCAAGGCATGGTATGGACATGTGCAAAGTGTTCAGCCTTTTCTTGTGATAATTCTTTTGATGAATATCTTAATGAAACTGTTAATGGGGGGAAGTTCTTCATGCCCCTTGCTATTCAATGCATGATCATCTCTAAGAAATCATCATTCAAACAATCAGTTAAAGGGAGGAATGCCATAGGAAGTCAGCTGCAAATCCTCCAGTGGGTTGGGGGGGAGGTTGCATAACATTTGAACCTTAAAATCTATTTATGTGCTGAAATGTGAAATTTTTGCATGAGAAGATTTTCAGTGTATTTTCATGAGAAGTTCTGTTTGTATTACTTCTGTTGTTGATATTCTTTTTCCTCTTTTTTGTCTCCACACCAGGTCGGACCAGTCAGCCTTGTGCTCATAGGAATTATATCCATTCATTGTATGCACATCTTGGTACGTTGCAGCCACTGTCTATGTCAGAGGTAAATGTGGAACTACTCACTCTGTTGCTGAGTTGGAATATTATTTTTTTTCTTCTCCAGTTCTGATTTTTGGTCTGTGGAATGACATGATGTTGTAGCAATTTGTTCAGCTCAAAATCTTGTACTTAAAAAAAAGAACACACACTTATGGTGCAGCTACAGGTGACAGCTGTGTGACCAACACTGCGTTAATACATTGATAAAAAATTTCTTCTCTGCTCCTACACAAAATTAGCTTGGTTTAATATATATTGTCCAGTATCGTGTTCCCTCTCTTAATAGGGAAGTAATCGGGTGTTTGTCATTACAGTTTTACTTGCTTACCTTCAGTCCTTTAACCCCCTTGTATCTTTATAGTTTTCTTAGCTTCTGAATCTTCACAGCTTTGAAAAATGTTCAATTTATAAATTGTCAGTTTGTAAATACAGAATAAATGGAGAACTGTTAATTTATTTTATGCTAATACATGAGCTCTGTTTCTTTGGATTGTGACAATTGGATTCTTCAAAATTGTGGTGCTAAGAAATGTATTGAAGTGCTAATGGTGAACAGATAAATGCCAGACAGTCTTTCAAGTGAGATGTAGGACTCTTTGGGGGAAGTGGTTTCAAATTGGGCTGACAGTATTTCCATTAGTAGTTGTTGTCATTAATCACTTTTATCTTGGTCGGGTGTTAAAGGGCAGCAGTGAAAGTTCTCCTGCTGTTGTTTCTGAACTGAAAACACACAAAGCTGTTAGTGTCCACGTAGCTGGAAAAGCTATCATTCAAAAAAACCCTGAACTGTTTTAGTACTATTGAATTAATGGGGAACAGTTTTGGTTACATGCTTAGAGAGTGCTAGATATTCCTTCCTGTGAGAAAGGAGCCCAAGCTGTACTTGTAAAATTCAGTAGCTGCAGAGTGGAGTCACAGATGATTCCTTATAACCCTGTGAGGCCAGCAGCATTCTCAGAGTGGAGATCTAGGCTCTGATTGTTTCTAGTAACTCCATTCTTTCTTCATTCCTTGATCTCAGGTTGAAAAAATCCTCACTGGGGTATAGTGATACAGTTAGTTACGCCATGGAAGTGGGGCCTCTGTCTGCCCTTCAGAAAAGATCCTCCTGGGGAAGGTAAGTTGACAGTGGAATTTAATTTAATAAATCAATTATTAAAATTAATGGCTACTCTTGGAACGGTTAGGAGACCGCTTTTTGCTGAGCTGTAGCTAGTTTTAAGAATACATTCTCTGTATTTGTAATAAGAAATACTGTTGCATAAAATTATTTCCTGAAGTCAACTTGTGTGCTGGGGATGACTGGGGAGTGAGTCTGTCTGTAAGGAGCTGTGAAGGAAAGAATTTTGATGTGTAGAATAGGATGGCATATGGTATAACCAGAAGTGCATTCTGTATTGCCTAATGCAGTAATGAAAATTTCTGCCAGCCTTTACCACAAACGTGTTTCACTGCATCAGACTTTGCTTTCTGAGCAAGTTGGTACTGCAAACATAATTTTGACTTTTTGTATTTAGACTAGAAGGGATCAAAACATTCTTTTATTTCTGTCAAGAAAAGATGGTGGAGAAATAGCTACTACCTTTTTATAGGAGCAGCATGCAGGTATTGATAGCTTGTTGTCTCTCTTAAATGCTTTGTCCCTCTTGGAAAAAAAAAAAGAGCATCATATTGTCTTTGCCATCTGTTGCTGTATAGCTTATGATATGACTACACGGTGGAACTGAAAATCTGAGTTGTTGTTCCATGTTAATTGTAAGGGATTTTTCCCTCTCTTGAAGAGAAGAATATTTTTCCTTGTCGTTTTCAAGGATTTAGCACCTTGTATTGCATGTTTTGGCTGTCGCTTGGTTCCAAATAAGACCAAGGGAAGTTGTGTTTCAGGATCTTTTGTGATGACTTCATAGGAATGAACTGGAGCTGAGATTAGAGGGAGATTGGTCTGTAGTGAAATAGAGTGAAAATGCTGTAACGCACCAAAGAGTTACATGCCACAAATGACAATTCTGTTTCCAAAGACACCGTGCTTCAGCAAATCTGTTCAGTGGGGCATTTCTCTATTAGATAGAGAACTATATGTAGTAAAACTATTAAGAGAGTTTCATTATGATGTGTCTTCAGGCCACCATCCTGTGAATCATTTTTCAAAAACAATATGAGCCATGAAAAACTATGAAATTTTTTTTCCCCAGGAGACACAGTGTCTGAATGTGTATTTGGATACATTTGTATAGATCCAATTAGCTGTGAAATGTTTGTCATCTGGAATTGCTGGAGCTTATATAACTAAGACCGTATGAGACATTTCATCTCTGGTATCAGTGGAAAACAGCTGTGTTATAGTGCTAAATTACTGCAGCAGAAGTTATTTGCAAATTGAGTGTCTGTGTCCATTGTTTATATTTGCACAACACCGCTGCATGTTTGAATTTCCCTGTATGCCCCTTTAAAGCATGTGATATGCCTGTAAAAAAACAATGATTAGAAAATTACTGCCACCACCAGAAAAGCCACAAAACCACTTTATTTTTGCCAGAAGAGGAACCTACATTCCAGCATTGGTGAGATTAATTCACAGGAGTTATAATTGTGTGTTAGCTAGAAATAGGTTAACATATGTGAACTTTAATGTATGTTTGTTTATTTTTCCTTTCTCAGGTATATTGTGGACTTTTTCCTAGTGATAACACAGCTGGGATTTTGTAGTGTGTATGTTGTATTCTTGGCAGAAAACGTTAAACAAGTGAGTAAATATACTGTATGGAAACAACTTTGGCATTTAATTTGTTTTTCACTACTTTTATTTCCTTGTACAGTCCAAAAGAACTTGTAGAATGTGGAGCTGAGAGATGCACAGAATACACTCTGTCGTGGTCTCCCCCAAGTTGCTTTTGGAAAAAAGTGGCAGTGTGCAGAGTGATCTAAACTGGCATATTGTGCAGGTGGTTGTAGCTTCATTGCCCTCTGATTTGTTTGTCAGATTTCAAAATGAATCCTAAAAACTGGTGAAAATACAAGACCACGTTAGGACTGGCATCCAGTTTTCTCTGGACTTCTCTGTTTTACCAGGCTTCGCTGCTGCCCTTTTTTTTTTCCCCCTGATCTCCTAAGTGTATTTTACCCTTTTTGTGCCATGGGAATCTTTCTTTGAGTCTGTTTTTGTTTAACCTCTTCAGTTTTCCAGAACTGTCTTGCAGTTATTTAGCTGCTTTTTTTCCCACAGAATCTGTTGAATCTAAACCTATCCTGATCTTGCTCTTAAAAAATACCTGACCTTGGAATTTCCATAACCTCCCAGTTAATTGGTTCCAATGCTTTGTTATCTATTAGACAACTTCTTACTTGAGTCTAAGCTAGAAATAATTATTTGCAATTCAAGTCTGTTATTTCCTGCTCTGCTTCCAAGTGTTTTATTGTATTTTAAGTATGGATGCCTTTTACATTTTTGAATATTGGTATCACATCTCCCACTTCCTTTTTAAGCAAATTTTTAGTTTTTTCCATCTTTATTTGCCATGAAGTGATATTTTTGTACTTTCTTTGAAGGTTCTGCACTTGGTTATGTACTTCTTGCCAAGTTTTATCCCAGCAGTTGTTTATGCTAGTCTTGCTGAAGTCTTGCTTGTGACCAGTGGACTTGAGAGGTTTTTTCGCAGGTCTTGCAGCTCATATTCCAGACTTGATATTTCAGTATAATGATTATCTTGCAGGAGCATGTCGTTATTAGCTCATGATTGATTTGTGATTCATTGTGACTTCTTGATCCTTCGCTGCAGAGTTCATCCTGGCATTTCTTCCAGTTCATTTTATACTGATAGTTTCTCTTTACCTATGAAATTCTTTATTTGTCCTTATTGAATTGATGTTTACCAGAGCTCAAGGCCAAGTTTTCCTTCTGTATCCCTTCACTTTCCATCTGGAAAGATGTTTAAACTCTGCTTATTACATCCCTGTGATGTAATATGTAATGAAAATATTAAATATTACTGCTTAAGAAACATTTCATATTTCCAAGTAGTATTAAACAGATGCAAACAAACACATATCGAGGTGTTGTATGTTTTAAAAATGAATATTAATCATTAGAAAACTACTGTGATTAGTTTATGCAAACTCTAGATGTCTCAGGATATCTAAAAGTCAAATATTTTTAATGCTAGATTTATGAAAAAGTCAATTAAAACTTGCAAGTGAATCCTCACAGCCAGAAATGTCTGTATACCTCCTCAAACCTTTCAATAAAATCAAACTATCATTTTTCTGCCACACAGTCATTTGTCATTGACAAAACCAAACAAAAGCATGCATGGAACGCGCACACTGGTTCTCACTTGAAGTGTTACTGCTCTAACAACACGCAGTGTGAGGAATAAGCAAGAGCATCCAGTAGCTTTTGCTCAGTTCCTGAGCTACGACATCATTGACACAAGTGAGACTTGGGAGAAGTCCTGTGAGTGTTGTGTCATGATGGACAGTAGGACCTTCAGCAGGAGCAGTCAGGAAGGGCGATGCGGGCTGGCACTGTGTGTGAGGGAGGAGCTGAGCTGTTTCTTATTCAAAGGTATCTTGAGATTGGCTGCCCTTGCTCTTGTGGGTAACTGTTAACTTCCTGTATTTTAACTGAGAGCACATACATTGGTCATACATCTGGTACATACAAACAGGCCTAGGAAATTCCTGAGGTACACTGAAGATAACTTCATGGTACAGGTACTAAGGGTTCTAATAAAGCACAGGTACATTTATTGTTTCTAAAAAGAGAGTGTTTTCTGGGAGAAGTGATGATTGGTGAGTGTCTTGGCCATGGTGACCATGAAGTAGTTGAGTTTTAAGTTTTTGGTAATAGGAGGAAAACTGCCACCACAATTTAGACCCTAGATATAGGGAGTGCAGACTTTGGGCTGCTCAAGAAACTAATTAGCAGCGTCCGTGGGAACCTGCTTTTGAAGAGAATGGGGTGCAGTGGTGCACGTCACTTTTTAGGAGCCATCTCCAAAGAGTACATGAGCAGGCAATTCGAAAATGTCAGAAGTCAAACAGAGCAGAAGACTGACATGGCTGAGCAAGGATCTTCTAGAGCTTAGTTGGAAAAGTCTACGAATGTTAGAAATGAGGCTGGGCAACATGGCAGGGCTACAGAGATGCTGTTTGCCATTGTAGGGAGAGTCTGTGTAGCCAAAGCTCTATTAGATTTGAAGCTAGCCAATACTTCAAGGGACAACAAAAGGGTTTTTTTTTTATTTTTTTTTTTTTTAAAGTATGTTAACAGTAAATTGTTCCATTACTTGATGAGGGTGGTCACCTTACAAAATAGGGACACAGACAAAGCAGAGACGCTTGCGACTTCTTTGCCTCTGTCTTCAACACCAGTGATGAGTGCTGGGACCCTCAGAGCCCTGAGTCAGAGAACTTCAACTGGAGTAGTGATGAACTTCCAGCCAATTTATTTGGACCTTAAGCAAGAGGAAAGACTGATCACCTGTTTCATAAGTTTTGGAAATAAAGCCTTTATAGAAAACCCATTGCTGCTTTCTTGAAGAGCTGAAAGCTGGGAACAGATCTTACAGAAGAAACAAACTATAAAAGCAGTAGCTGCAGAGACCCATGATGTGTAACCTGTCTATATGATTTACATTGCCCTGTGCCCTTTCCCCTGGGAGGGAGGTGGTGTTTTCTTCTGGGCAACTTTTCTGTTTGCAAAAATCTGTCCCTTAGAGGGCACCAAAGAACACAAATTAGTGCAACTTCAATCTCTTTATTTTGGTTAGTGGAAGGATGAGACAGGTGAACAGGAGGAATGAGGGAGTGGAAAACTAAGATAAAGGAAATTCATAGTAGTAGTGTTAATAATACTAATCCTTGACCAGTACCTTTGCTATTATGAATACCATGTATTCTGATTGCCATCCATGCACAAAATGTCTGAGGTTAGTAAGGATCTGTCAGCACCTGCTCCAGACCCAGAGCAGGGATACCCAGGGCCATGTCCAGGCAGCTTTGGGAGATCTCCAAGGAAGGGAACCCCAAACCTCTCTGAGCAACCCGTGTCAGTGCTGCATCAGCTGCACAGCATAGAAGTCCTCCCTCGTGTTCGGAGGGAACGTCTTGTGTTCCTGTCTGTGTCCAGCTATTGGCAAGTTGGTGTATGTAAACTTGACAGCCACATGGAACAAGGAAGAACTTCCACTGATACCTCTTATTTGATATTCCTAGTTAAAAACTAGTTCCAAACCAAACTTTGCAGTCTTTTTCCCCTGCTTTATCTACCATTTCAGAGAGCTAAGAGGTGACAAAGCATTTTGGAATGGTTCTGGTGAGTGAATGGGGTGTTCATCAGATTTAGTTGACAGTATTGTATGAGTCTAAATATTTATTTAATCTTTTGAATTCTGAAACGTTTATACACTCTTCTCACTACTGGAGACGTAGTGTAGCTTTTGGTTCTAAATCTTTTCTGGTTATGGTATGGGATTAGAACAATGTTGACTGCATTACCTTAGATTTTTCCAGATTACTTGTGTTTCAGGTCTGTTTCTAATTGTATCAAATTTCAAGTAAAGTTTTTCTAAAGGAATTTCTTACTGGGGCATCAAAGAAACTCAGGTTTGTGATTTGCAGATACACCCGTCAGAATGCAAGTAAGGTCTTAAATGTGAAGATATCTAGAGTCTGAGAAGAAGTTGCTGAGTTTGCTGGAAAAGTGTCATTTTCTCATTGTTTGGTGATAAAGCTGAAATATGCAAATGTATTCTTTCTGCATGGGAGCATTTTATTACATCTTTGGCAGTTTGAAGGTGACCTGTCAATAGGATGACCTGTGAAGCATTTCATTGTCCTTTTAATTCTGAATTACAGGGTTACAGTATAGTCCTGTTTGCATTATATATGTATCACACTGTTTCAGTGCTAGATCTGGCCTTGTGTATCGTACTACATGTTGCTCTGTGTTGAATAAGGAAGGAATTACAGGAAACTGATCAGCTTGAGGAGTGCTGTTTTGGTCCCAGTGGATGTTGCATAATCTGTAGACTGTGTGACAGAAAGAGTAGGATTTGGGGTGTAAGCAAGAAAAATGGTCTTGGTTGAAGTGACTAAGGAAACTGAATTCTTCTGACATCATTCTTACATGAAGCATATTGGTCAATTAAACTAAATTTTCTGCACTTGCTAACTGTGCATACCTACTATCAGGAGTCTGTTGGCCAGTTTTGCTCAAGTGTGTAATCTTCGCAGATACAGCTGAAGGCAGTAGATGCTGTGCTTGGGGTATATAAATGAAAAATGTAATGAAAAGTGGGGTATGTAAATAGAATTCAGTGAGGCACTCCTGTAAAGGAATCTGTTTCAGACATCACACCATCGTGAATTTCTGATGTGACACATAAAATAAATGTATCAGGTGTCAGAAACTCTGCTGTCTGCTTGGAACTGTTACCACTAGATAGAAACTTGTATGTAATCGTAGTGCTAGCAATAGGACTACATGAATGGTCTCAAGTTGCTCCACGGGAGATTCAGGTTGAATGTTAGGGAAAACTTCTCCAAGAGCGGTTAGGTGCTGGAATGGGCTGCCCAGGGAGGTGCTGGAGTCACCATCTGTGGAGGTGTTCAAGAAACATTTAGGCGTACTGAGGGACGTGGTTTAGTGGGAAATACTGGAGGTAGATGTACAGTTGGACTGGATAATCTTGGAGGTCTTTTCCAACCTTGGTGATTCTGTGATTCTGTTCTTGTGGATTTCTTCTTTAGTCACAAATGGGATTATAGTGAGGTCCTTTATGGCCCAATGTCATCATTTATCTTAAGGATGAAATATGTTGAGGATGAAACTCTTGCCCTGTCTTTCTGTTTGTGTTGTGAGTATAGAGAAACCCAAATGCTTGACATTCGGCACCATAAAAAAACAGGAGCATGATCACCGATGTGACCACTCAGTGCTACTGCTGTTGAAAACTTTTCCTTTCCTTACAGGTCCATGAAGGATTTTTGGAAAACAAAACTGCTTCTATAAATGTCAGTGTTACCAGCAGTTCTTCTGAGAAAAGGAGTACTGATTTACGAATATACATGCTTTGTTTCCTGCCATTTATGATCCTCCTGGTCTTTATTCGTGACCTGAAGAGCCTGTCCTTGCTTTCACTGCTAGCCAATCTGTCCATGGCTGTCAGCTTGGTGATCATTTACCAGTATATTGCTAGAGTGAGTATAGAAAAGTTTATTATTATTATTATTTTTATTAATGTGATTCTTACATGTTGCTTGGGATAGTTGGTCTCTGACCAATGATTTCTGACAATTTCTGCAAGTCAGAATTATCTTGTAATTTGAGGTAAGGGGGCACCTTAACACTTGAGAAATGCTTTTAACATATTTTTATGGAATTTTTGAAATAATGGATAATATTGCTGCACTTAAGATATTGAAAATGCAGATTATAAGGGTTCTTGGGTCCTTGAGTGGAAGAGAGTGGAGTGCATCCGGAACTTCAGAGGTTTCAATCTGTGGCCAGTCCATTTCAATTCATTGCACCAAAAGAACAGTTTCAGAGATTGTTTCTATTGTTTCTCCAGTACAATTACTTATTTAAGAACGGATACTGCATTCTTCTGTTTCCGAATAAGTTGAATGTTCTTTGAGTTTTCTGGGTTGCTGCTGTTTTTAACATTTGGGGGCACTTGAAAATAGAACAAATGGAACTGATGGCTGAGAACACATACAGAAACCTCTACATTTTTTCATTCTTATTTTTGAAAAGTATAAATGGTAAACACCATTGCGTGCACAGTACCTAGATATATGGTGTGCTATATACATGTGCTACTGGTAGAGAAAGCTTTCACGTGAGTCATAAAAGGGCAGGAAGCAGAGAATGAGGTGGAAGTGAGAAGATAGTGAGAGAAGAGGTAGAGAAGATAGTGAGAGAGTTGGCTAGAATAGAATCATAAAATCATAGAAAAGGACCACAGTGATCCTGTAGTTTCAACCCCCCCTGCTATGTGCAGGGTCACCAACCAGCAGACCAGGCTGCCGAGAGCCACATCCAGCCTGGCCTTGAGTGCCTCCAGTCTCAGTGTATCCACAACCTGGTATAGGAGGCAGAAGTTCCACAAGAAAGATTGGAGGAGTGTGTTCTTTTGTCAACATCTGCTGGTTTTTCTTTCCTAGAGACGAATGCAGCGATCAGAGTTGTAAGAACATCTGATGTTGTTTATGTAGAGCTGTTTTGCTTTGTTTTCTTTAGGATATAGCAGATCCTCGAAAACTGCCTCCCATGGTTGGCTGGAAGAAATATCCTCTATTTTTTGGAACAGCAGTGTTTGCTTTTGAAGGAATTGGTGTGGTAAGTTGTTATCTCTGACTCTTCAAGATATCTAGATCTGTGCCAGGTGATGGAACATGAACAGTTTAATGACTTCTGATATTTAATTTTTCATGTTGAAGCGCTAATCTTCCAGATATATGAAATGTGTTATAATTTGTCTAACTTGTTGAGGACAGAACATCCCTGTACAGAGGTATTTTAGTGGTTGCTGATTGCTAATTGAACACTTAGTAGCTTCCCATTTACAAGAATGTATGTAGTACATAAATAGATTAAGACAGTGATGTAATAATAATTAGTATCATATTATATTCAGCTAATAATATGATGAGATTGCAATTATAATTCAACAGCTCAGTTTGAAGTGATAAGTGTACAAAAAAACCCCAACCTATTTCAGCGTCTGCCCTTTTTTTTTTGAGGTCACGGAGGACAGAAGTGATTATGAATTATGATGGAAGCATTATTTGCCTGGTCTCAAAGTTGTCTGTAGGGATGGCTTCATAGAAGTGGCGATGATAAGAAAAAGTCTAGAAATTTCCAAATATTGTTTTGACTCATGGACTCATGACAGTGAATCTCACTGTTTCTTGAAATATGTTAACTGTTTATCACTCCTGTAATGTTTTTGATGAGTGAGGCATTTTTAAGCTCTTGTGTTCATAACCTGCTGCATCTTAGGACTTTCTGATTGCATCTCACACCAGTAAGGTTTGCAAGTTAGTTAGCATTTTTGTTCCATGTGCTGTTTTTTTAAAAAGAGCCAAAGAGGCACCTAGGAATTGTAGGTCATAACGTTTGTAAACTGTTCAGAAATTACTGTGTATGCTGTATTTATTACTACTATAGCTATGTACTTGACAAGGTGCTAGTATGTGCTTGAAACTAAAGCTAAAGAAACAACAAAAACAAGGACATAAACCAGCCAACCGAAAAAAAAAAAGGCCAAACCAAAATGCAGTACCCTCAAGACAACATGCATTTTATCTGAAATAATTGTTTCTCATGACATAATGTGTTGGAGATTTCAAGTATCTTTTAATTTCTGGAATATTCAGCTCTGAATTAAACCAGCAGAGCTGAATAGCAAAAGTCCTAACTCCAAATTTGTTATGAAAGTGTTTTCGCAAAGGGGATGTGTGGCTCTAGTGATGATGAATTCAGACTGTTTTTCACTGTTTCTTAGACTGAACTGACTGATGTAGAGGTTTGGGTGAACCTCTTTTTTCACGTCATCTGGAAGTTCTGCCATAGCAAATGGATCTACACTGTTTGATGTCCACAGCAGCTCGTGACCAAAAAACCACCAACCCCGTCATCAGTTAATCTAACATATTGGGCTGTGATAAACTTAGTGCTCCTAAGTTGTTTGAGGGGTGACCTCCTTGCTGTCTACAACTGTCTGAAAGGACGTTGCATTGAGGAGGACATTGATCTCTTTCCTCAGGTGATAAGAGATGGAATGCCAGTCAGTGGCCATAAGTTGCACCAGGGGAGATTTAAATTGGAAATCAGGAAGGATTTATTCATGGAAGGGGTGATTAGGCATTGGAACAGGCTGCCTGGGGAGGTGGTGGAATTGCCATCCTTTGAGATATTGAAGAGAATGTGAAGCTTAGGGACAGGGTTTAGCAGCAGACCTGTGGTGTTAGGTGTGTGGCTGGACTTCAATCTTGATGACCTTTTCCAGCTGAAATGATTGTATAATCTTACATGTCATGTTCTGTTTTAAAAAAAAAAATCAAAATAATTGTTTACAGAATGCCAGTATGAGTAGTTTCTCAAAGTCATCTTAGGAAGCTTTAATTTTTTTTTAAATGTATTAATATGATGATTTGGGCTGTTTACATCTGTTTGTAGGATCAGCCTAAATTCTTGTTCGATGGCTGGTTTGAACAATTTTGTCATTTTACTAAATTTCAGGGAAGTTCATTTGTAATACAACTCCTACAGGACAGTTATTCCTGTTACAGAGCTGAATAACAGTAGTGCGTGCTCAGCTGTGATGCCGAAACAGTGCTGCACTTTGATGTGCTTGCTATTCATATTTTGTTCAGTGTGAGTTGACTATAGAAGTGGGCTCACTGCTGGTTGGTATAACGTACCTGCTGCAGGTTGCACCTGTCTTGGCAGCTGGGTGTTGATGATCTGTCTGCTGACAGGAAGAGCTGTCAGCAGAGTAGGCAGTGTTTCTTAATGCTGAGCTAGAAACAGGAATTGAGCACTTAATACAGTAGATCTGGTGGCTATTGTTAATAATGATGGAAATCCATTTGGGATTTCAGCATGCTTAAATTAATGTTTTGAGATGAGGGTGACCTTGTGAAAATTGTACTGAATAGTGACATAAGTGCCATTTGTGAAACAGTGGTAGCTGCAACTGGATACAAATAGATTGCTTTGGATGTATGGTTTTGTTTTAATCCTTACAGTTTCAGTCCAGGAGGCAATTATGTGTTGATCAGCAGACACCAAAATTCAACCCTTTATGGGTCTCTTTATGGACAGAGTGCTGCTCAGGATGGCAGAATGTACTGTTGCTGCTTTCCCTCTGTGCTTTAGCTCCTCTCTAGTTGTGAGTTCCCTGCCCTGGATGAAACTACCTGTGAAATCATGAGGTTGATACTAAGGCCACAGAGGAGAAGAAAGTATCAGCGCTACTTTTTGAGTACTGTAGCTGCAGGTGATAGATGGAGCAAATGTTTGCAGAATGTGTTATGTTATTTTATAAGAACGGTGTTTGAGAGCTTCTTTTGTATTGCATGGATGAGTGGATCTGTTTGTATACAGAATGTGAGATTTCCGTGACTGAATTTAAAAGTATTTTCAGTCTGTGCTTCTGAGACCTAAAATGCAGTTAAAACTATTTTTTAGAAGAATATAAAACTGAAGCCTTCAGGCTTGGATACATCTGTAATATTACTGTGTGCAGGTGAGAACTGCATGATGTTATACCTATGCAACTGCAGTTACAGTTATTGGATACTTGGCAGTGAAATTCCAATTTGCGTTCTTGTGTGAGGTATAAAAACCAAATTCAGATATGGAAGTGATATTTTAATATAAACTTCAGGGGAGAGAAGGAGGATAAAATACATTCATAAAGTTTAAACAGTAAATACATATTATGTATTGTGCATAAATATGCTCAGTTAATTTAGTACTGTTTTTTTGGAGTTCTGCACGCTAGTTATCATAGCAGAGAGAAAGTGTTAATAAACATTATTTCCAAGTTTAGGAAATGAGTCTGATATTTCAGCTTATTTCTTGAAGACATCTATTAAGACTGCTTTTAAACTTGGGTATCACAGCTTTGCAGTAAGGAGGTGCGGTGGTATTTGTACACCCAGTGACAGGCTCTGGAATCCCTTTGGCAGCAGCTAACTAATTGCAGGAGATTTAAAAACAGAAAACTAAGTGGATTAGAATTTTTAAAGTGTTAGTATTTGGATTTTGAAAGTGATGCAGATGAGCTTGTTAGGCCTATGGCATTGAGATAAAAGCCTCTCTTAAATTCTTTTGCCAGAGTAGTAATATTGTTTTAAATAATTAATGAATCCCAGTGGCTCCCTGTTCTGTTGTCAGACTGGGTTTGGCAGAAGCAGGCATTTAACAGGTAACATGACATAGTCTAGGTATACTTGGGTCATCTCTAGATTGGGGTGCATCAATTTCATTGTTGTTCTTCAGAGACAGCTGAGATGCAAAGGCAATATCATTAGATGTTGCTTTTAAATTTGATCACCAAAATGTAGGCATCAACAGTATTTGCTGACTGTGTGTATGACCTTCTTGTAAATTTCATGGTAATTGTGAGCTTTAAATGTCTTGTCAGTGAGAGGCATGCCATAACTGCTGAGCAAAGCCTCTTGGTTTGACTCTCTTCTGAGCACGTTTAAAAAAAATTGAGGAAGAAGGCAAAAGATTGTAGACAAATGCCTAGAAAACAATGTTACTAGATGTAGCAGATACAATTTTTTTTGTTGTTGTTAGAAACAAACAAACAAAACCTTACTCAGATTCATCTGAGTCTTGGTAAATGCTGGGCTTCTGAGTATTGGCTTTTGTGAAGATTTCACAACAGTGAGCAGCTCAGCACTGCCATACACCTGTCTCACTTCTCAAAAGAGCAGAGGGAGAAAATGTGATGGACAGAAAACTCATGGCTGGAGATAGGGACAGGGAGATAAGGACCCTCCAAGTGCAGGTGGTGTTCTCCTCTGTCCCTTCAGTGGCAGGGATGGATACTGAGGCCCAGGAAAACACATCTGATAATACATGACTGAGAGACTGGTGCCACAGCAGGAATCCTGTTGGTTTTTTTTTCTTTTTTCTTTTGACCCTAGGGCAGTTTTTTGAGCACCTGGTGTGATGGCTGCAGATGGATCCCATCTGTCTCAACAGGGGAATGGATCCTAGCCTAGTAGCTGGCAGGGCTCACTGAGAGGGCTTTAACCTAGGCATGAAGGTGGAAGGAGATGAAACCAGGCTCACTAGAGATGAGTCTGGGGGAACAATTACAGCACTGGGGACGAGGCCAGTGTCTAAGCAGAAGTGCATCTATGTAGGGAGAGAATCAGAAAGGCTAAAGCACAGTACGAGCTCGACCTGGCCACTGTGTTAAGGAACAAAAGATGTTTTTACAAATATGTTAACAGGAGGAGGGCCAAGGAGAATCTTCATTCTTTACTGGATGTGGCAGGGAATGTGAACATTAAGGATAAAGAAAAAGCTGAGCTTCTCAATGCCTTCTTGGTACTGCTGAACTAGATGATAGAGATCTTTTTCAGCCTTTATGATTCTGTGATACTACTTATGCAATACTTAGACTTTTGAGAAATTGACTGACTTTTTTGGGGACCTTATAAATGCATTGGGGATCTTATCAGTACTTATGTATATCTAAATGGCGGGAGTCAAGTGGATGGGGCCAAGCTCTTTTCAGCAGTGCCAAATGACAGAACAAGGGACAATGAACATGAGCTGATACTTAGGAAGTTCTATACAAACACGAGAAA